CAGCTCCTGAATTGGGACCCAGCTTGTATGTTTTATGAGACGAGGCAACATAACTTAGATTTGAGTCTTTATCCTCTTAATGTGTGTCAGTGCAGTGTCAGTGAGCCAGAATGAACCTGTGTGGTTCTTTGTATCTGTTTTAGCTTTCTCACTAAGGTAACATTAGCCTCGTGCTAATGAGGATATGAATTAAAAGCAACTTAATCTAACAGCGCCACACACAAAAATCTTTCTAAACTTGTGTCAGTGAGTTTTCAGTGAGCCAGAATCAACTTAAGGATCAATGAAGCTGTGGTGAATCTGTGCTGTGGTGAAGCCTTAGCATGCTAAGGTACAGCAGTAGCATGCTGCCTGCTAGCTCTAATCACCACGTTTGACAGTTTATTAGATAGATGTGGCATATAAATTTGACATGATGTAATTTTAAATACCAACATCATTTCTTTATTTTAGTTAACAGCTTACTGCACAAGCCACGCATTTCAAACAAGATGCAGGCATGTTCTGTAGCTGTAAGCAAGTTTTCTGTCACCACATCATAATCCTCTCATTAGCAAATGTGAACATTTTGGACTGTGATGGGTTCAAGCTCATTCGTGCCATACAAAACTAAGCTGCTATGTAGCGGCCCATGAATTGCTTGAAAGTCTGCATTTTCAATGGAAAAATGTTGTGAACTCTGCCATATGGTAACATATTTGATATGCAGTTTTATAACAGTAGAGTGCTGTTTCAAGAAAACCATATTATTTAGGCCAGTCGAATATAGATAAAGACAGAGAACATATACATAAGTTACAGTTCATAAATTACAATTCAAACATGAATTTGATTTACTCTCTTTCTTTATTTTCTTTTTAATAAACAGCGCTTAGGTTGCTTAAATGGGTCAGCCGCCCCTGGTTGCGCCACTTGGGAGCCTTCTTGAGCATCTTAAGCCCTTCACAAAGCAGCCTAATTCCAGCAAACCCACTGACAACTTTGGTTTGGTGTGCACGCCCAGTTTGCTGAAGCTGTAAACACTTTGCTCTTATGTTCACACCAGACAGCTCATCAGTGTTCGCATAGCACTGAGCAGCCAACACCACATTGGTTTGGTGTATTGCAAAGCATCAAGTTTGACCAACTGTGATAAACTTGCCTCTTGCATCATCTTTAGGCACCTGGTTGCAGTTGTAGCTGTGTGTCATGGCTTTTAGCAATACACCAAATCATGTCTTGGTTGCTTGTTTTCTTTCCTTTGTGATCCATTTTTACTGTGAGTTTTCCGTCCTTTTGCTCATTGATAGCCACATCAGCAGATACATATTTACAGTCAGAAAGAGGCTTGTTCTGCATGGGCTCCTAATCAGATGGCACAATACTGCATAGAGGCTGTAGAGGAGATGAAAGCCTTTGGCTAGTCTGACCTCAAAGCGTGAACACACTGTCAGGCAGTTGTTTAGAGGACAGATGGGGGGAGTCAGGAAAAGGAACAGATGCTACAGGCACGCTGCCATCTCAGTACAGATTCTGGCCATAACTACTAAGAACCTTAGAGCACTGGTTGAAAATCAGATTTTCTTTTGATTTAGAACTGACAGAAAGGAGTCTAATATCACTTATGATGAGAAATATGCCTGCCATAACAAAGCTGATGTTGAAGAATTAGCACCATCCAGGGCCCAGTGATGATCGTCTACCATCACCTTGCTGTCAACTCATGTCTTCTGCGAAAAGTTACACTTGAAAACACAGAAAATTTCTGCCATATCGCCCACCCTGAGTGATAGCCCATTATTTTACTGTGAACAACACCTTACATTAACTGAATTAGCTGGCTAACAGGAACTTGCATATTTTCATGTCATATAAATCTTTATATTTATTAAATATACATTAACTGTTTTCTTTTTTTGAGTTTAGGTAAACAATGCTTTGATGGTACATATTAAGCCTGTAATTTTAGGTAAGAATGTTGCAGAAGAGGTGAGACAGCAACCAGAAGGTTGCAGGTTCAAATCCCAGAACCTGGTTGTGTCTTTGGGCAAGGCACTGCTGGTGATGTTGTGCTGCTCCCAGACTGGGCATAGTTAGGCAGCAAAATGACAAATTTCCCATTTGGGATCAATTAAGGTATAACATAACATAACATTGGACTAGATAAAAGACATTTGTAGCAATATTGCTGTTTAATTTCTTGGTTAACTATATACAGATGGGCACACTCAGGGCCTTATAAGACAGAGAAGGCCTCATAATTACTGGAAACTAAAAGTGCATGACTAGTTCATTTTTATTCGATAGAATCTTGCTTGTGTTTAAACTCTGCAAGTATTACAGTACTACTCTTGTTTCTTTGTTAGGTTTGGATGGAAACAAAAAGGGTTAAATTCTTGAAATGCAGAGCAGAAAACTGTCCAGTCAGGAACAGTTTTCTCTGTGGTATCTAGGTAGATGTAGCTAAGCAAGCTCTCCTGTTGGTTAGGACTTTGAGAGTTGAAGAGAAAGCCTAACACATTAGATTAACTAACAGCATAATTATGAAGCGACTGAGGAATCATCCAATCACGTTTTGATTTCTAGTATATGAGACTGATTATTTGAGAAAAAAGTCACTCTAGGCCTTCTGGAAATCCCAGATTCGTCACTGACCATGAATATGAGCAGCAGTCTGATCAGTGGGTTGCTTGAAATGGATGACGGTGGCAGCAGCTCTGTACCAGCCTCTCTATTGAAGGAGCCACTGTGAAAGTGCTACAAGGTAAAATATATGCTAATATGTCTTTCACAAGCTTCAAATAAACAATGGAATTTCTTTTAGAAGCGTCAAATGTGTGTTTAATCAAGCCTGTAAAAGAGGTGAGCCAACAACAAGAGAGTTGCAGGCTCAAATCCCAGCACTGATTGGGTTTTTTGAATTTTCCATCCCACCTTAAATGATGCAGCGATTACAGTTTGGTGCCAACAAATTTTCTGTTCCACCTTCTGTGCTGCTCCGGTTACATTCTGGTGCCTAAGTGTGTACGGCTTAAGGTGGAATGGAAAATTTGAATCGGAAGCTAAATTCATCCTCATCAGGAAGTGTTCATGTGAATCGCAGTTAGCTTAGCACTAACAAACTACCAGAATCCAGAACACTAGCAGAAGTTGAGGTGGGTTTTTTACTCATGTTTTGACCTAGCTTCGACACTTATGGCCCAAATTGAAGGCCTAGCTCTTATAGTCATGGTTCGCCTGACTAAAAGGGTATTCAAACACCTATCGCTGAGAAGTAATTACCCTCCTCTTGGGTAGCTTATACTTCTGAATCGTTAAAGTTACAGTTTGGCCATCTTGAAACCTGAAATTTGTCTATACTTTTGCCATTTTGCCCTAGGTATACCGTTTGATCCATTAGACCTTTATAAGTGCAGAACTAATGAAGCAAACTTCGGACACCAAATACGAAGTGGCTGAACAACCACAATTTTAGTAAAAGAAAAACTGTCAGTTTGATTTCTTGCTTTAACCATTGTTCATAGCAAATGATTATGTAATGCAAAAAGTTCACACTTATATGACAGAGTTGCTAATGCAACAGATTATTTCATTTTAAAAGGCCTGCCTAGCATTTCCGTTCCTGGTGGACCCGAGCTGTGAGCTGCCCGGCTGGCTTGGCCGAGGCAAGCCAAGGGAAGCGGAGGGCTGTCTGTATTCACTTTGATTAATTATCAACAGTCTGCTGGCTGCAGGGTCTTCTGGATGCTTGTGAGACCAGAACACACCAGCTCATATCCTGCACCCGAGAGGTCTCTCTGCTGCAGCGTGGCCCTGGTCACTGCCACGACACGTTCATTACTTTTTATGTTCCCCCGAGAGAACAGTGAGGGAGTTGCCTTGCAAATGGCGAATATCATCTACAAAATTACATGTTATAAAACAAACCAGACTTTGTGCATGCTGAGTTTGAACAGAAAAAGGCTAAACAAAAGTAGGTCGAGTAATTACTTTAAAGTAAACATTTCCTTTCTGCTTGTGGCCTGAACCAATTTGGAAAAATGAATTTAGGTGCTTGTTATTCGATCAGTGGGCTGGGTCCCGCTTTGCACCTCTACTTCCCAATTGGAAAGGGATCATCTCTAGGCCATAACCTGATGACGCTTAGTGATACCCAGTACTGGAGAGGTAAACAAAAAGAATGAATGGATGCAAAGGTGGTTTGATGGGGGTAAAGAGAATGAAGGCAATTTTTGCTGTTCTGATGGGACATAAGCTGTAGGATGTTTTGAACAGTGGTTGATAGATGGAGCTACTGAGTTAAAAGCTCTCATCTGGGCTCTAAATGCACAGGTATTCAATGCTTCATTTAAACACTGTGTACACATCACTATGTAGAGTATTCAGTATGCGGACTATATACTGTTGTTTACTTTGGACAATTCTTCAGCTCTAAGATGGGGAACTGATAATGCCTTTATTATAATCTTACAGGGACTTGCACCTTCTCTCTTATGTGGAAGCTTTTGGCTTCTCCCCTGATCATTGCTTGCACCTGTGTCTAGTTTGTGTCTGTACACATACAGTTCCACCCATCCATCCATCCATCCATCATCTAAACCGCTTATCCTTCTGGGTCACGGTGGGCACGGTGGCGCAGTGGGTAGTGCTGTTGCCTCACAGCGAGAATGGCCTGGGTTTGATTCCCAGCTGGGCGACCAGGGTCATTTCTGTGCAGAGTTTGCATGTTCTCCCCATGTCTGCGTGGGTTTCCTCTGGGTACTCCGGTTTCCTCCCACAGTCCGAAAACATGCAGTTAAACTAATTGGACACGCTAAATTGCCCCTAGGTGTGAGTGTGTGTGTGTGTGTGAATGTGTATGTCTGTCTGTCTGCCCTGTGATGGACTGGCAACCTGTCCAGGGTGTATCCTGCCTTCCGCCCAGTGACAGCTGGGATGGGCTCCAGCACCCCACCACCACATACAGTTCCTTGCAGTCAAAAATCATCCCTCATCTTTTAAATTTCCAGTCAAAATGGCTATTAAGTGTAAGTCATTTATTTTGCATTTCTGTGGAGTTTAGATATACAATAATCCACTGGCATTAGGAAGGGGAAATCAAAGAAAAATAAGTGAAAAAACAGACATCCAACAGACACCCAAACTGAAGTTAAAAAATAAAATGTTATAGAGAAAATGGGACTTAACAATTGTGCAAGACCTGGTAGACCACCAACACTGTCACCATCAGATACTTAAGGCTTTCATCTTTGAGGGATAAATTTGAGAGAATTCAAGCTCCACTTTTGCTTCGGATCTGAAAAATCAACAGGTGTTTCTGTCCATCCTTCCAATTTGCAAATCAACTGGACTGGCCGCCTCAGAGCCCAGACCTCAACATAATTAAATGCAGCCAACTTCATTGAATGTTGATAATTTATTCAGTTTTTGAGACATCTGTATAATTTTCTGTCACATGTGTGTATATAAAATAAATTGTTTTGCCTGGAAATTAAATAAATAATCATATTAAAGCATTCTTTAGTCAAACATTGCCTAAGGCTATGGGTGCCAAGCAAGCTTATTCCATGAACAGCAGGCAACAACGTTCTGTATTAATACAGAATTCAACTGATGTACTAAGATTATCATGTTTATACTGACTGCCTGTTGACAAACATCCTGCTCAAGGGTTGCAAGATTTCAGCTGTGGTAAAGCTGGATAGTCCAGGCCCTGGGGTGGGTTCAGCAAGCATCCAATATGTCTTTTATCATGTTCTCCATTTTGTCTTTTCTGCCATTTCTTGTTTGTTTGTTTTTACATTGTTCTTTGTATTTTCTATAATGAAAATTATAGGTAAAAATATACATTTTCTATAAGGTAAATTATAGGGTAAAATAATTTTGTTCTGGCATTGTGATACACAAATAAAACGCTGGCAGCCTAGTGAGTCTTCTGTAGGCTAAATTTGAGTAATTATCCTAAATCCGTCATAATGCAGCCTAACTTTGCCTAACTTTAGCTGTGTCTCAACCCACATACTACCGTACTAAATGGTAATACAGCATCATTCAAAATAGAAACAGCACCATTAGTGGCATGCTATTTATGTGATTTGAGACGCAGCAGCAGAATGCATCCACCCCGCAATTGAGACCCCTGGGCATGTGACACAATGTTAGGGCTGGAACATCATTTTCTGCTCTTCAACAGATGGAAAGCGTTCAGAGTAAGATATGACGTGACATTTTACATCCGGGCGACGGCACCAACTGGACACCAGACAACCCTAACTCCTTAGTGACAATTATCGGAAGCTCCAGATAAACATACTAGACACTTACATCCAATTACCCCAAGCTTCATGTTAGAGTTATTCCTGAAAAGTTAAAACACAGATGTGTTTGTGGTTACATATTAAAACGATTTTGTGGGATTTCTGGTATTTGCCAAGAGGGCTGCATCATCCTAGGAACAAAAATGGCCCAACTAGGGGCAGCAATCCTACTATTGCTGGGGCTGCTATTTAATTATATTACATTCATTTTGCAGAGTATGTCTACATGAAATTCTTCTGGACCGATTGGTTTTGTTAATCTGCATCACTCCATACACAGCAACACAGTTGTCCAAACATACAGGAAAGGAAGCAGTTGGAATATATCACAATCGGCACAAAATTATGAGAATGAATTCAGCAGTTGGTGTTCCTCTGGTCATTTCTTGTCATCATGAGGAGAGCAGCTGGAACCACTCTGGCTGTTGGCGGCAATGGACGAAGGAAAGTTTCCAAGGAGTCTAAACTTAACCCAGTGTTCATCTTTAAGGACATACTGTAATTTCACATCATCAGATGAAGATCCAGGGCACGTTAACTTCTGGGAGGACTCAGTAACATCCTGAAAGCTGAGTTCAGGACTGACCTGGCTGTCACACCGCCGGACGGAAACTGAAGACAATCCTTTGGAGAAGCTGACGGTGTTCTTGCTGGCTAAGGGCTACAGCTTAATGAAACAGCTGGTCTTCAAAACCCAGATTTACTGCCCACTTCAAGAAACACAGGGAAACATTTTTGTTGTTTAAAGCCTGATTCTTGATACGTGACCTTCTGAAGCCATGAACAGAGCGACTCCTGTTTGGAGCACTGAGGAAAAATAATAGGATAAGTTACCTCACTTTTAACTGCCACTTACCTTCAGTAATGCAGACAAACACATGAAGTGGAGCGGAGAGACAAGATGAAGTCAATTAAGTGACAGTGATGTAACTGGACTACTAACTTTGATTAGAACCATATGCCTTGGATCTCAATGGACCAGTAAAGGCCCCCCCACCCTGTCTCTCCTTTGCCTCAATCAAAACTCGATTAAAGCTCAGCAGAACAGGGACAGAGAGATATGCTGGTGGTGCTGTGGCCTCCCTAGGCTCTGGGAATGATGTATATCAACAAAGGACTAGTGCTCATGGGAGGTCATGATACAGATGTACTATGGAGTGTGGTTTGTTTTGTTTTTTTTTACCTCTTTTAATCTTCAGAAGTCGCAATTATCAACAAAAGTATGGTGTAAATTAAAATTATTTCTTAGTCATTCATAGAAACCTAAACTTTCAATCCAAATCCAAAAATTAAATTCCAAATTTGTGTCATAAGTAGAAGAAGAGAGAATGTATTGTGATTTGAATTTGATGAAAAGTTATTGTTTTGCCTTGTTTTGTGCTGAACATCAAACAGAAAAAAGTCAGAAGTGCAAAATATCAAATCAGAAGAAAATGTCTATGTCATTGCATAAATCAATAGGTAATTAAATATGTAATTGAAGAGTTTCATTCCAAACTGCTGTATTTTCATTTGTAGCAGTTCTGGATATAACACAATTTTTCTCTAACAAAAGTAACATTAATCATATTATAGCATTGATGTAACTTATATGTGTAAAGACAATTCCCAACAATGTTTACCATGTAAGAAAAGAAAATTCTTAAAAATGGTCTATAATGGATTTAGCAACCTAACACTTCAGTTACATAATTATATTTGAACAGTTGTAGCAAAGCAAAAGTAATAACTATGCTTCTTTGGGTAAACCTTACCCTTCTCAAGTTTAATATAAAAAAAGTAATATCTTAAAGTCAGCGTCAATTGAAAATCCTAACAAATTTTCCATTCTGTGTCATGACATATCAGGGAGGGTCTCTGAACTAGCTAAATGTTTTGACTCAGTGATATGTGGGGTGGTGGGAGTGGGAGATAAAACATGATATTAATTTTCTAAACCGCTTATCTTTCTGTGTCACTGGTGGAGCTGGAGCCTATCCCAGCAGTCATTGGCCAGAAGGCAGGATACACCCTGGACAGGTTGCCAGTCCATCACAGGGCAGACAGACAGACATATACATTCACACCTAGGGGCAATTTAGCATGTTCAGTTGGCCTGACTGAATGTCTTTGGACTGTGGGAGGAAACCCACGCAGACACTGGGAGAACATACTCCACACAGAAAGGACCCTGGGTGCCTAGCCGGGGAACTGAACCCAGGCTTTTTTGTGTTTTTGCTGTGAGGCAACAGTGCTACCCGCTGCGCTGTGCTGCCCTACCTCATTACTATACTTCATTGTTCTAAATTACTCAATTTGTTTTCCAAGAGATACTTTTTATTTCTTACATTTTCATTTAGACATTCAAAGAACTAACAAATCTCAAAGTACAGGACATTTTTCTTCTCTCTTGCAAATAAGTTCCTATGCATTTGAATTTTGTTATTGTATTAACAAATCCAAATCGTACTAAATGGTAATACAGCATCATTCAAAATAGAAACAGCACCATTAGTGGCATGCTATTTATGTGATTTGAGACGCAGCAGCAGAATGCATCCACCCCGCAACTGAGACCCCTGGGCATGTGACACAATGTTAGGGCTGGAAATTTTGAAACCAAATTTGAAAAAATGTCAACTGCCTTAAAATGTTAATTTGACTTATTTTGCGGACTAGTACTGCTCATTCGTCACTGTATAACACTGCACCACATCACACACCTAACAGAGAACACTTTGAATGTATTTGTTAAAGGCCCTATGTCATGGAAATCTGACATATTTACTGTATCAAACTCCTTCGGAAAAGGAGTTTGTTACAGAAAATAAACACTGTTAAAGTTAAAAAAGTAATTATCGTTCACTCCCCAGTTCATACAGTCCATATATGGAAACTAAGCCTCAAAAATAGCTTGTTTTGAATGAACTGTTTCTGTGATGTCATGAAAAAAAACAAATCAGTTGCAAAATCATTTACATATATCCACCTATTCAGCCTACAGCAATTTAGCCCTGTCCATTTACACTGAAGTTATAAGAAGTTTTTCAGCCTTGTTTTTTGAATAAGGCACAATACAGGGTAGCAAATCAGAATAGAACTCATTTAACAGCACAGTAACAAAAATGTAAAAATGTATGCCATGTAAAAATGAATTATGACTGTTTTTGGTAGAGAAACACACAAATGTCATAAGCGGCCCCAAAAATCAAAAATTGATTCAGAGGTGGGCAAATGGCATTACATTTTGATGTAAGATTAGGAGAAAACAAGAATTCCAGTCCAGTAATAATGCTAATAAAGATGAGAAACCTTTACAAATTAATAACATTTTCCCTTCCTGGTATAAAATTACAGTCTTTATTGAATGCATCAAAGATGGCTTGACCTTGAGTAACCTTGAATATTTGCTAATCTCTAGTCAGCTTTAAACAATATACTCACAATTTGTCTTGACCTTGTCTTGCCAAAACAACTACTGGTGTTAAAATCTGTTTTTACTGGAATCACTATGGAATCTCTGAGCTCCCTGGTGATGTCCTAACTCCCCCTCACTGCTAGTGTTAGACCACACACTCACCACATGGCCCTCCGGTCCATCCAACTCCACCACCTCATTGCCAATGACCTATGTATCCAGCAGCCTGCTCTCAGAGCCTCACTGAGTGAAGCGTGAGAAGAAAGCTGTCCCAACACAGACTCTGGTGCCATCTGTCTCTGTTTTTTATCTACAGAATGTGGTTAAAATGCTCTGCATAGCTTGTTCTTGGTCAAATACTGCCTAGTCATTGCACAGTACACTGTGAAAATGTACTAGCCAATGTTTACTTATTAAGACAGAGCTCTTCTGGGAGCTTTGCACTTTGGGTCTTTTCTGGCTGCTTTCTTTTTTCATGTCATAGACATGAACAGTTAAAGTCCAATGCTAATGATTTTCCACACGTCTGCATAATTAAATGTTTAAGATGTAAACTAAGCTGTTCACAGTGATTTGATGTGAAATGCTTTGTTGTACAGAAACTCAGCGGTGGTGATAGCAACCAGACATCTGCGGCATTGAATGCCTCTAAAATAATAATAATACATTTGATTTATATAGTGCCTTTCACAAACCCAAGGATGCTTTACAAATAGGGGGAGGGAAAAAAAGACCTAACACTTTGAAGGAGAAGAGTAGCGAGCAGTAAGGAGGAAGGTTTTAAGTTTACCACTATTTTACCATCATCAACATTACATATAAGAACTCAGAAGACATGTGTAGGTTCACTAGTGGTAGCGTAGACATCATGACCCCTAGTTCCTGTTACCACCACTGTAAGGTAATTGATCAGTTTTCACCATTTCATTTCACCAAAACACTACATTTCAAGTGTGTACTATGTAATTTTGAAAAATCGGTGGAATTCCTCTTGAAATGACTTTTGTCATTTCACTAATTTAGTGGTCGGAGGGGGTGGGATGGTGGCACAGTGGGCAGCACTGTTGCCTCACAGCAAGAAGGGTCTGTGCTTGATTCCCCAGCCGGTCGACCAGGGTCACCCCTCCCCCACCTTATTGAGCCTGCATGCTCTCCCTGTGTCTGCATGGGCCTCCAGGTGCTCCAGCTTCCCTCTGCAGTCCAAAGACATGCAGTCCGGCAAATTGGAGATGCTAAATTGCCTCTAGATGTGAATGTGTGTGCCCATGTACATGTCTGTATGTCTGCCCTGTGATGGAATGGTGACCTGTCCAGGGCATTTCCTGCTTTCCACCCAGCTGGGATAGGCTCCATCATCCTTTGAGACCCAGGAGGACAAGCAGTTTAGAAAATGTGTGTGTGTGTGTGTGTGTGTGTGTGGTTGGAGCCAAAGACATTAAAAGGTTCTCCTTTTCTCCTAAATGACTACAATTCACAATAATCTCTTACTTCAGTGAAAAGATTACTACACGTTTTGAATATCTTATTCAATTTATGATTCACAGGAAGATACATGCTGTCAAATTCAGGGGTGCACATTCTTAAAGAGTGAAGTTCTGAGGGAGGCTGTGAAACAGTTCCAAAGGATTACTCCTACCTCTCTTTTTCACAGCTGTGCATTCCGAAACACTTATTGTGGGTTGTGTTTTGTGTGAGATGATAGGAGGTGGACTGGTAGGGTGAAACTGAGTGTTTCTACACATCAAGAAAATCAGGGCCTGTGACTGAAAATGCTAACTCCTTAGTGGTCACTGACAAAACTGAAATTCACTGATAAAATTTAATAGATGGTGATCAACAGAACGTTATAGTAGTTCTGTAAGAGAAGGTGCTAGATGCAAATTTTCATTTTACTTACCAATATAAGACTTTCATTTACCAAGCAGCTGATGTCACTGAAATCCTGGCATTAGTTCACTTCTTTAGCTTTGCACTGGAGCTATAAGCAGGGATGGGGGAGTAACAAAGTAGCACCTACATTTTGTAGTTAACTAAACATTTTTGTAACTAATATCTGTAGCCGCTACAGTTTTATGAAAATTAGCTAATAGCTGTAGTGCCTACAAATTTTTGTGTAGCTATAGTGAAAATTTTCGCTACAAATTCGCTACAAGCTTCAGACCATCTGCGCAAAATCTTAACCATACAACGCAGCCGTTAACTGGGCTGATGGCAACTGTGCAATCCTGACTGAACCACGGATAGTTCGAGTAAACGGGCACACGTGGGTCCCACGCCATGATCACCCCTTACTAGTAGGCTTAACTCAGGGGTCAGCAACCGAAATGTTAAGAAGAGCCATTTTGTCCTTTCAACAAAAACGAAACCACCTTGGGAGCCACAACGTTTTTTGCCATTTTGGCTGTAAATATTTCTCAGTATGTGCTGATGTTCTAGTACAGGCTAAGAGTTAAATAAACGAAAATGCAGACTTTGCTTTAAGCTTTAGCTCAGCTGTAGCCGCTTTTCTCGATCTCAGGAAACTTCTCCGCGAGTTTCTTGTTAAATGTCTCTCATTGTTCAACTTTTTACGAGGCTGAAGTCGCTTCTCATTCTCCTGCTTCTCGTTCGAACTGTTCCGTTCCACCTTAAATGGTGCCTGGGGTGCCAGATTGTACTGCTGCGCCATTTAAGAAGGAATGGGAAAATTTGAACGAGAAGCAGGAGAATGAGAAGCTGACTTCAGTTTCGCGAGGAAACCAGCTGAGCGCTTATGTGTGCAAATAAGTCCATTCATCTCCAAATTATCGACGTTTGTCTTAAATCTCTCTCTTTGCCTTTTCGTTGTGCTGTGTGTCCAGCAGTCTGCATGTCACTGTTCAGCGTTAAAGGTTGGTGAATTAGCAGTTATGCGTTAACTCCAGCGTTTAAGACCATTTATTGTGAAAACTGTGTTAGAACTGTGTGTTATAATGATTTTACAGCTAAGGAGGATTATGTTATTTATAACATATATATATAAGGAGCCATTTATAACTTATATATATATAAGGAGGATTATGTTATTTACCTAAAAATCTAGTTCTGCTGTGGAGCCGCAACAGCTCTGCAGCAGTGGAGAGACTATTCAGCTGCGCAGGCCTGATTCTCACCCCAAACAGAACCAGCGTCACTTTTGTGAGTTTTATTCCAACAGTTGACAATGTTTTGCACAAAATTCTCTAGTTTGTATTCAGTTATATTTGTTGATTTTTATTAGGAAAAAACATGGAATGATTGACCGCCTTTAGTCTAAATTTTTGTTGGATATCACGCCGTTGGTTGTGTAAGTTTGATTGTTGGTTGCACATAAACTTACTTTTTGTATGTTTGTAACTTTTCATTTGTATGTTTCTTCCTGGCACATGACTAAATGCAGTGTCTTGTTCACACTATCAGTTGGGCTTGTTTGGTGTGTCAGGTGGAGATTCACAAACATTCTGACAATGGCGCTTTGAAAGTAGCTAAAAAATATTGCACTACTTTTCAAAAAGTAGCTTAAAAAGTAGCCACTACTTTTTCTGGAAAAGTAGCTAAATTGTAGCTGGCTACAACTTTTGGGAAAGTAGCTACAAAGTAGCTAACTACTAATTTTTCAGGAGCTATCCCAACCCTGGCTATAAGGCTAATGTACTAAAGCTAAGAAATGGAAGCCTATGTGCCATCAGTTAGCCACTTTATCACAGTTTACCACTACTGTTATTGACATTACATATCAAAACTCAGAATCAATTACATGCCAAAAACATTGCCCTCAAACCACACTGAGTTTCTGAGAAATCACAAATAGACTTGCTTATGTGGTTTCTGGCACTGTATAACACACTGCTGTAAAAATAGAAATATGACAAAATTGCAGGCTTCAAGGGGTACTACTGCCATTTTTAAACAGGGATTTCATCAGTTTTTCATCACCTTAAGTGTTTTACTGCCTGTAAAAGCCTGTAAAATGTACTTTTTTAAATCCATTAATGGCAGAGAGCTACATGAATGAAAGATTTACCAATATTTTGCTGTTGTCAACCTATAAAACGTGTAGGTTCACTGGTGGTTTTGCATAGTAAATAAAATTTCTCTATTTGTGTTGTAGACATTGCAGCCTCCTCGTTCCCATCATCAGTACTATAAAGAAATCTGTAAGTTTCTCTGCAAATTCACATCAAAATACTCAGAATTACTTTGCCTACAGCTCACTGATGTATTGTGGTGATGGAGGAATTCCATTATTACTTGGCACTTTCCATAAATGAATTGAAGGGATCTGTACTTGAACTTAAAATCAAATTATTAAAATTAGTGTTTAAATGATCAAAAAACACATAAATTGTCTGTATGCCCCTTTAATATGGTAATTTGGGGCTTCTTACTTCTCTATGAAATGTATTTTTCAGTAACACCATCATTACGTTCATTAAGTTCAAAGCTATTTAATGTTGAAGTATAATTTTTCCTTATTCATGTATTTAATTAGACCAAAAATGTCTTTTTAATCTTTGTCCCACATTTTATGCACAACGCTGTTACACAGACCTGGCCCCCCTCGTAAAAAAATTCATTTATGGTGTGATATACAGGAATTTGCTCCCCCATCCCAGGAATATATATATATATATATATATATATATATATATATATATATATATAGTTGTGTGGTTATTAGTAGAGTAGTTGGCATGTGACATGTGCACCCTGTCATGTGAACCACTCCTGAATGCTTATTTTAGGCTCATTTCACAACCCTGTTTTAACTTCAAATTATTTAAATGAAAATGGCTTAAAACTAAGATTTTGATGAAAACATTTTGATTAAAACAAGTTTTCAACTTTCCACTCTGCTCTGTGCAGAGTACTGCATTAATATCAACTGAATTGGAAATATGATCTCTGCATTCAACCCTGTTATCCAGGTTTCTGCCCTGTTATTCAGTCAGTTTTGATGAAACCCGTCTTTATTTTATTTAATCTATTCAATTTAGTAGGTTATGTTACCAGACGTCTCCATTAGATAACGAGAGTCCTTAGTTAAAACCACTAATACAAGAAAAACTGCACATTTTTTGTTCAGAAAGAAAAAAACTCTAAAGGCTTTGGGGTAATACATACAAGAAATATGAAAACAGATTAAAACTTTTGATTATTGTTTATTTGGAAAGTTCTGAAAGCTTTCATAAATATATGTATTTCTTGCTAGAAAATAATGAATCTTATTAATACTGCCTTTAAAAGCCATTTATACATCTCCCTAAAAATTAACAGAGCTGCAAAAATGTACAATCAGAAAAAATAGTGTCTGATTTGACAGCTTGAGGTGGGAAAATAACATACTCTGAAGGTTAAGCACTTATTTTGATTAATACTT